CTATACATTATTGTTAGAAAACCTTCGAAAAACTGAACTCAAACACCAGCATTAAACAAAAAAAAAAAAAAAAAAAAAAAAAAAAATCCACACTTGTCAAATGTTCCTAACCAAGACTAATTCGTGGCAAACCTTGAGAACCTATGGCCCACTCACCCTGCTCCATTACTATAAACATCAGTTGGGCATGGCAGACCCAGAGGCTACTCTGTAGCCTAGAAAGTGAAGTACCTGTCTCTCACTAGTTTGTCCCAGGAAGGTAGAGTCTACCCTGAGGCAGAAAAGACTCCTATACCCAGAAGTTTCCAGAATAAAAGCCAGGTCTTCCAGCACCATCACAGAAGGAATAAGAGCTCCTTGTCTCTGAGACTCCAGGGCTCTGTCTTGTTCCAGCCCACCAATGTAGTTTTCCAGTCAGTCAGCAGGCATTCCTGGATGGGTGCCACGTGCAAAGCTTCAGGCTTCACCTGGAGAGATCAAAGTGGAAAGACTGGTCTTGAGAATGTCAGTACCTGAGTTCAATGCAGAGTTTAAGACTCACCTGACTCAAGTGGTCAGATTCCAGGGATAAAGCTGAAATGAGAGAGAAGGGGGGAATCTGTGGGTCGAATTCTGATTATTCTGCCGCTTCTCCTAGATCAGGAAGGATTTCTTAAGGAACTCCTGGAGGTCAAGGCAGCTTGGTTCTTTTTGCAAAAGCCAAGGGAGCTGAAGCCTCCTCTCAGGAGCCTCCCCTTTCCCCATCACTCAACCCTTCAACCAGCCCCAGTCTAAAGGGAGCAGCTGGACCAGCTCCAGGGCCTTTGGTTCTGCTAAAGCCAACTCACTCTTGATTAGAGCTTATGACCTCTGGTTAGAATCCCTCCAACATTTGTTTTTAATGTACATGTTTCAGGTACCTCCAGCCACCCAGGTCCTCTCCTGTTAGCATCCAGCTCCTGTCTCTGAGTCAGTGCTCTTCTACCCATTTGCTATTTTGCCTTCTATCCGTCCATTTCTGGCAGATGATAAGATTAGCACATACCCCAGTTGCCTCAACCTACAGCTGCCTGTTGACCGAAGCTTTAAAAACAAAGGAGATTCTCCCAAGCTACTCTAGATAAACATGTGCCACCCTCATGTATAACCAGGACTTAGAAAAAATAATGTCTCCATTCGCCTTGTCTTTCCCAGGGTTAAGAGTGTAGCTCAGTGGTAGACTTAGCATGTGCAAGGCCCGAGGTTCCATTCCCAGCAACCAAAATAAAACGAAACAAAGGGTCCTCCCACCACCAGCCACCAGTACTTGTCAAATGCCCCATCCCAAACCAGGTCTATTTTGGTTTACTAAATCCTACTCATTCCTTTGAATGGAAATGAATAAGACTTTTTGGACTGTATTTTCACAGAGTCTGTATTTTACCTGCTATGGATTTTAATGGTTAGCTCAGTTGTTTAAATCTACCGAAAGGCAAGATTCTGCTGAAAGGAGAGACAGAGGAAGCAGATGGACCCAAAGCTGGAGGGTGCATGGGGCTCACAGGGAGAGCACTGATCAACAGTGGGGTTCCCCGACCTCATGTCATCACAGTACCTCAGTGGGTGAGAAAGTGTAAAACATACTCTTTCCTCCCTAGAAAATCACAGCTTACAACTCACTTGTCCCTACAATGCCCTTGCCCTTTGAGTCTTCAAAAGTTGTCATATGTCATTATGTCATGTCATTAGCCTGCTCTAAATAGATAGTAGTAAATTTTAAAGCATTTCATAGCACAATCACCATATTTTGTTATTTTTAACAATGGTGTCAAAGAGGTTTACCTTGCCTCCCTTCCCTTGTATTTACTCTACAAGATCACGTCCTTTTCCCCTGTCTAAAGCTTCCTGTCTGCAGAAGTAGGAGGCCTGGCTAGAGCCAAGCAAGTCCACAGTGGTGCTGAGATGCCTGGCAGGTCTGGCTGGTGTCATGTGGAGTGAACACCAGGGTTCTGCTTCTATCAGGAACCAAAGGGCCTCCTGGGAGACTCATCCTAAGTCTGTAGAAAACAAGAAGCCCAGGGGTCATTAGTACCAGAGCACTGCACTCCACAGGGTAGGCCATCTACCACAGTGACCTTGGCTCAGACAAGGTTCTCAAGTTCTTGCAGGAGTTGGTGGCATACCAGAGAGGAAGACTTCGGACTGAAAATAACTGAAGACCTAACCACAGTGGCTTAACCCAATGAAGGCATTATCTTCCTAGTTCAGTGGCCCAATGTTGAGGTCTCGTTGAGACTTCATTGGCCCCTTCGTCAGGACACTGCTCCTGTCACACCCAATGTAACAGAGGAGGAAGCTAATCTTACAGTAGAAACTTTTCTCTAAGCAAACTGAGCTTTGTTTTGTCTCCTTGACCAGCACTCTACTCACATGGCCACTGCTGACTGTAGGTAGCAAAGGAAAGGTAGTAATAGCCAATAGGAATAGAGTAAGCAGCCAGCATAATGTGCAAGGATCAGGTCTCATGGCACACAGATTCCTGTAATATCCACAGCCCTGACCCCATAAAAACAGCTTTCTCCATTTACAAAGAACACAGAGTGACTTGGACAAGTGAGGACCACTCATAGGGATAATGGTACCTTCCTCTTTGGTAGGGGATCATCTGGAGTGCCTCAAAGATCCATCAGGGATACCCAGAGAGATGCTCTCTGGTGTCACAGTTCTTTCAAGGGACCATGAACAGGAAAAGAAAGCAGTGAGCAATGCCCATGGAAAATGGAGCCATCACATCACATATCTGCACAGGCGCAGCCTGGACTCTCCCAGGAACTGCTGAGTGAGATGCTCTGGGCTCTGCTTTAGCAAGACCACACGGACATCTTTGGCTCCTCAATTTGGGGAAACAGTGGCCTTTGGCATCTGGAATCTAATTGTTTGATGGAACACACACACACACACACACACACACACACACTCACACACAAAAGACCATTTGTCTGGAGCGTTGAATTGAGAAAACATTTATGAAAATAAGATCTTTGTTTCTGATGAAGAGGGAAACTAAATGGGTTGAGTCATGTGTGTACCTGATTCTCTGCACAGACTATTTTTAATCATTGATGCTTGCAAATATGCTTTATTTTCATTGACTAACAAGAAAATAGAGTTCAGAGCCAGGCGTTGTGGTACACACTTTTAATCCTAGCACTCAGGAGGCAGAGGCAGGCAGATATCTGTGAGATCAAGGCCAGCCTGGTCTATCTAGCAAGTTCCAGGTCAGCTTCCAGCTGGGGCTACAGAGAGACCCTGGAGAGAGAGAGAGAGAGAGAGAGAGAGAGAGAGAGAGAGAGAAGACAGGGAAGGAAGAAGGAGTGGCAGGAGGGAGGAAAAATAGAGCCTAAAGAACTTGAAAATTTTAATCTAAGATCACTCAGCTAAAATATTAAATATCCCAATTAAAACCTATACACTTAGATTGGGGAGAAGGCTCGGGCTCAGTGGTTAAGCCTTTGTTCTGAAAAGGGGATGATAGGACTTCAGATCCCCAGTACCCATGTAAATGCCAGGTAGGAGCAATGGCCCACTTGTAATTCCAGCCAGAGAAGGCAGAGACAAGGGAACCCAGAGAAAGACTATCCATAAGGCAGGCTCTGGGTTTGATTAAGAGATCCTGCCTTAATGAATAAAGTGGAAGAGTTATGGAAGATGATTCTTGACATCAATGTCATGCTTCCACATGCATGCACACTCATGCCTATGTGCACATGTATTCACACACGTGTTCCCACACACATGCAATACGCACAAACCCAAACAGAAAATAAAAACTATACTTTCTGGATCCATAGCCCACATCTGTCTTCTGCATGGCATGTGCTTGAGTGACTCCATTTTTTCACCTAAACAATTATTTCTATCATTCACATGATCCCACCTATGTCTAAGAAAATCTAATATAGCCACACCTACAAAATCCTGAATGTCAGGGCTGGAGAGATGGCTCAGCAGTTAAGAACACTGCCTGTTCTTGCAGAAGACCCAGGTTCGAATCCCAGCACCCACATGACAGCTAATAACCATCTGTAACTCCAGTTCCAGGGGATCTGACATCCTCTTGACCTCTGCATTTCATGACACGGTTGCACTTACACATATGCAGGCAATACATGCATACACATAAAACAAAAATAATAAACAAAAATTTTTTTAAATCCTGAATGCCAGCTACTCAGTAGCTCTTAAAGATAAGAAGGTGTTGGGATGCTTATCAAACATGTAAAACAGTAGCAAGTTCAGGAGACTCAAAATCCCAAGTGCTGTAGCCTTGCTGTCTACAGCAGCATGAAAACCCTCTGGTGGCAGACTCACTCACCAGACTGCCCAGGGCTAGGAGGGTGAAGCAGTGAGATGAGCTTAAGGAAGAACCAAGAATTTCAGTAATCAAGAAAAGTAATATTTTAAAATAGCATCGTAAAAAGTCCAGGGTGAGGAAAATCTCAATATTTGCATAAAGTGCACACTGTTATATATCTCTTCGCCCTGTGGTTTCCCATCAGTGAGGCTCCCATACCCCTTTGGCTTTTGTATCCACTCCAGATACTTTCCTGAGTGGTGAAAGTGGTGTCCACACAGTTTGGCAAAGACAGACTTCATAACTACTCATTTTTTATTGAAAAATGTCTGTTCTTTCCTCTGGTTAGGTCAAAATATGGGAAGACATATAGATATGTACATACACATTGGGAACGCAATCTTCCTTTTTGCTTTGGACTCCAGTGCGTGACTCCAACCTCCACCCCCCCCCCATTATCATTTTGCTATTGTCAAAAGGAGACAGGAAACTGAGCAAGGAAGACCTCAGATGACATTAGTGAATGTTCCGCTTCCTGTAGGTTAACCCCATCCACACTTCCTCGGCATTTAGCTGTGAGCTGCTGCACCCTTTGCAAATGGCCCTATCCTTGAGAGATACTGTAACTTTTTAATGACCTTAACAGTGTTGGAATGACCATGTTACCCTACAAGAGATCCTCCACATAGCAGTGAGCAGCAGACATGAAACTTGTTCTTTATTAAAGGGGGCACTAACAATTACTTTGACAACAGTAGAAAGGCCATAAGTTAGGGGCCAAGTACAGGACAATGCAAGCAAGACCGAGTCATTTTCTTTTAAAAGGGTTCAAGAGCAATTAGCACTTCATTACTATGACATAAATGCAAATTTATCCCCCCCCCCAATTCTTTCCACCCAACCTGGGAAAGCACTGTTTTAGGAAAAACTGCCATGAGTTGCCCAGGTAGGCAGGGAGCAACTCCACTGCCCAACCCCTTTGAAGAGGGTCAGATAGCAGACTTCACTGAGAGCTTGAGTGGCCACTTCACCGAGACCAGGGCAGGGCAGAGCCACTAGATGAAAGGGACTGTGGGAACTCCACAGCCACAGCAGGCTGTGTTCAGCCAGGAGCTTGGCAGCCCACTGCTGCACATGACAGGATAGTGACAGTGA